ACAATTTATTTTTATATTTCAATTCTTCCTGCCATAGGGGTTTGATTGCAGACACCATGCTGCAATTCATATCCCCTTCATCTCCCTCCATGTCTCTTCTAGATAGGGCATCTACTACTTTATTTTCATGTCTCTTTTTGTACTCGATTCTGTAATCATACCGTAATGGTTTGGTGAGATACTTGTGTTGGGTAGGCGTAGATACCCTTTGATCCATCAGGTATTTCAAACCGATCTGGTCAGTTCTGATTACAAAAGGGGCATGCAGTAAGTAAGCTCTGCATTTCTCAATAGGTAGGATAATATCCAAGAACTCCATTTCATAAATGGATAAACCCATGTTCTTAGATCCTAATGCTTTACTGATGTAAGCCAAAGGGTGATTATCTTGCAGTAATACAACCCCTATGCCTCTATAACATGCATCAGTTTCCACAATGAAATTTTTATTAAAATTGGGTAATTGTAGAATGGGCACAGTGCACATAGCTTTCTTTAGTTCATCAAATGCTTCTTGTGCCTCCAAATTCCATTTAAACATTCCCTTTTTGGTCAGGTTAGTCAAAGGTTTAGCCTTACTTCCATAATGAGAGCAGAATTTTCTGAAGTATCCAGTCATGCCTAAGAAACCCCTCAATGCTTTAAGATTAGAAGGAATTAGCCAATCTAAGATACTTCTGATTTTTCCTGGATCAACTACCACCCAACAACATTAATGATGTGTCCCAAGTACTCTACTTGCGGAACTCCAAAGACACATTTAGATTTCTTCACAAACAGCTTGTGTTGAAGTAACAATTCAAACACTTGTCTCAAATGTGTCTTATGAATCTCTGGACTGCTACTATATACCAGGATATCATCAAAGAATACCAGTACAAATTTACATAGATATTCTTTGAATACACAATTCATAAGTCTAAAAAGTAGCAGGTGCATTTGTCAGCCCAAATGGCATAGGGATAACTTGACTTTGCACCCCATATTATTGTCGAAATTGGACTTTGCACCCTGTTTTTACAAACCTTTGTTTTTGCACCCCAACCCTGTATGAAAAGACAAAAATGGACCTCGATCATGAATATGTTGAAGGCCAAAATAATTGTTAATGGAGGGGCATTTTTGTCTTTTCATACAGGGTTGGGGTGCAAAAACAAAAGTTTTTAAGAATGAGGTGCAAAGTCCAATTTTGACAATAATATGGGGTGCAAACTCAAATTACCCCAATGGCATAACAGTAAATTCATACAACCCACTAGCAGTGATGAAGGTTGTTTTTTCAATATCTTCTGGCCTCATTCTCTCTTGACGATACCCCGCTCTCAGATCTATCTTAGAGAATATAGTAGCTCCATTCAGCCCATCTAATAAATCATCTATAAGAGGAATATGGTAGTTATTCTTTATAGTGATTGAATTGAGCTTTCTGTAATCCACACAGAACCTCTAAGACCCATCTTTTTTCTTAACCAATATAATTGGGCTAGAATATGGGCTTTGGCTGTGTTGAATAATCCCAGAGGCTAACATCTCCTTGACTAGCTTCTCTATTTCCGGCCTCTGCATATAGGGGTACCTGTAAGGAATTTGCCTAAATGGTTTTTCTCCCATTTTTATGTCAATGTGGTGTTCATGTTACCTGATTGGGGGTAAACCTTTAGGCTCTTGAAACACCTCTTCAAATTCCTTACTTAGGTCTTCCAAATCCTCTGGCATAGCTGGTTTTTCTTCCTCTTCTTCTACAATAGAAATTGCCATACATAAAAACTTGGACATCACCCCATTCTTCTTTCTCAGTAACTTGTCCATCTTCTTTCCATTCATCATTCTTACTGACACTTCTTGTTGTATTCCGTGAACAATGATCCTCTTTCCTTTATGATCCAATGAAATAGAATTGTATTCATAATCTAGCATGATAGGCCCCAACTTCTTCATCAAATCAACCCCCATTACCATATCATATCCTCCCAATGGTAGCACTCTCACACTTGCTGCAAAATTGTGACTAGCCATTTCCCATTCTAAGTTTGGACATTTAGAATTGCATTCAATCTTGCCTCTTGCTACCATAACCTGTAATGGGTAGGTTATCTCCAACTCACACTCGATTCTTTTAGCCGTTGATGGATCTACGAAGCTGTGAGTACTGCCAGAATCTACTAATAAGATGGTTATGTTGTTATTCTTCACTCTTCCTGCTAGCTTTATGGTTTCAGTAGGTACATGCCCTTTTAAAGCATGCAATGATACCCCAAAACTCATCTCATTATCACCGTCTTGGTTCAATATCAGCTCATTATCCTCTTTCTCCTCTTCAGTCAGAATAATAACAAAGAGTTTCCTGCATTTATGCCCCACAGTATAGGCTTCAATGCTTCATCAAGTTGAAGCATAACCCCTTCTTTCTTCCAGCTTCCAACTCATCCTTATTCAACCTTCTGATTGGTAAGGATTTATCCCCATTTGCAACTCCTTTGATTTCAACATTGTTTTTAGGCCAATTATTCCCTTTTTGCATGGACTTGCATGTTCTTTCCACTACTTCCAGAAGTGCCTCTTGTTTTTTGGCTATCAAGAAAGCTTGTTCCAAAGTTTCAGGAGCTACAATCTCTACCATGTGTCTGATCTCACTCTTTAAGCCACTAAGAAAGCTTTTCAGAAAGTAATATTCATCCAAATGTTTGTTTCTGTGAAGCATGAAAGATTTCAATTCAGAGAATTTATCTATATAGTCATCAACTGCATTTTTCTGCCTCAGTTTGTTGAAAATCACCAATCATATCATTCTCTTTTGAAGATCTATCTAAGAACAATTCCACAAATGCTTCCCATCCCATAGACTCTTTGCCCATTATCCGGTCCATATACCAGTTTTCCACATTTCTAATCACATAGATTCCAATCAATACGATTTTCTCATAATCAAACTTGCTATGGATTAGAAAATACCTCTCACACTTTCTGATCCAACCTCTAGCATTTCACCATTAAATTGAGGAAATTCGAGTTTGATTCCACGTTGGTGACCTGGAGTAGCAATCAATCCTGAATCTGGTCTTCGAGGAGTATGTTCTTGGTGAATGTTACCATTGATTCCTTTAACTGCAGCGATGACTTTCTCGAATCGTCTTTCACTTAATTCTGCAAGCTTCGCGAAATCAGTTCTCTGCACCTCATTGAGTTTTTCAATTTCCGGTCATATGTTGATTAAATCTACTTCCAATTGAGTAATACGATATGTGTTACTCATTTTTGCCATGGATGATAAGCTAGCTCTGATACGAAATTGTTATGAATGGAGAAAGGAAGAAAGAACATTCATAACAAGCAAGAACAGTTTGCAGAAGAATATGAGGGAATGAATGAGAGAGAGAAAAGATCAGTATTATTCAGCTTATTCCCCTTCGTACAGTTACTGCTCATTTATATACGCCTAACGACTAACTACCCAGCCGTTAAGTGAATGACATAGCTCACCCGTGCGATGCACAGGCAAACAAATTACATACAAATTACTCAAGGAAAAAACAATATAACAAAAACTTTTTTATTACAATTAAAGCAGAAATACTAATAGGATTACGTGTAAACAATTTTTAACAATAAATTCCAACATGAGCTTTACAATTTTTGAAAAATTTCTTTATAGATAATGTTATTTGTCTTCGTTATTCTTTATATATTAAATTCATTCAGATCAAATTTTTAGTCTCATAAATTTTCAATAATGATGACAACCCAAAACATGAGTTACCCTATTAAACAAAACCATCTACCCAAAAATCACACGCCTAACAATAATTTAGATCTTCTCAACTCTTTAAATTTGATTTTGGATGCTCTTCACAGAAACATACAAAATTTCCCTTAGAGGCTTAGAGAGAACTAATTTATTGATGTTTTGCAATTCTTCCATGATTGCAATAGGTTCTATCCATCTATCAAAATCAAGACCATCTCATTTTCACAAAAATTAATCTAGAATAAGGTGTAGCCCAACATTATTCACCCCACAACAAAAATCCTGACCAGATCCCCTAATAAGCCTTTAACGACATTGTGTATAAGCCTTGAACGTAAATGTGACACCGCACCCGAACGTCCTTGAAGATTCAATTAAAAATTCAAGGTTTATGTATTGAATTCCTGATTTCCAAACAATTGTAAAACTATTAATGTTTTACGTAGTGCATGATTGATTATTGTACTGTTCGAACTCGTATATTAGTGTCGGGCTTGCGAATACTTATTTGGGCCTTTAATGAATATAAGAGCCCAACATTTTCTAAATAATGATACATAACCTTTCAAGACAAGTTGAGGAAGGTTGGGCAGCCCGAACATTATTTTGGGCCCAACCTGCTAAAAATAGTAAGTATTCAAGAATGGCGTCCTAGGCCCACTCGAGGGTGACCCACATGGCTTGTAGCCCAACATTGTGCATAATAATGTCATAAATAAGTGTTAAGATGATTAGGGAAGAATACAAATGCCTATGGTCCCATCTTTGACATTATTGAGCTAAATGATGGGAATAAGTTTTCTTCTATAATTTTCATCACATGAATTCTTGGGATGATCCTACACATATTGAAGATCCATAATATGATGTAGAGGGTTGAATTGTTCTAAATAAATTAGAATGAGTACAAAAGACATCTTTTGACAAAAGATAAAACAATAGGACCCATCTTTCCATTTTTGGAGGTATTAGTAGATATTTTGGACCCCAAATTGATTGGGATCAATTGAGAACCACTCCACATGACCTTAGTACCTGCAAAACAAAGAATAATGGGTTATACAAATATGTGGGGCGGACTTTTGACTTAAGAGCTACAACATTACAAAAAGGAAATAAAAGAGGAGGTCCACCCCATGTTTGAGTGCAATCAAACATCCTACCTTTCTTTTTTGAGAACCACATGATCTCTTAGCATGATTGAGGTCTCCTATACACTCCCCCCAACACCCAATTCGAACCATTTGAGATAATAGAGAAGAGAGAGCCACACACTTCAAGAGAGAGGTGAAGAAAGAAGTTGGCCGCAAGTTCGTTTTCCAGTAGACAGGGTTGCTTGTTTGATCCATAACTTGAGCTTCACTCGTCCAAATAAGTCGTATGAGATACCAAAAGAAAGCTCTCAAGACTCGGAATCCGTGAAGGTTTGGTTAGCATCAATCGGAGTAGTGGAAGGCTTCCAAATCGTCCGAGCAAAACACAACCTCGCAGAAACGGATTTACTCTCCTAAAGTGAGTTTTAACCCCAAAACCTTTTTTTTCATTTTCCAAATGATATGAACGATTGGTGGAACTATTATACACTATTCCAAGTGTATAATATGTCCTTATAAGGTTATTTTATTGATGCAAAGGTTAGATACTAACCTAGAGCAAATCTTGGAAAAACTAGGAAACGAGCTAGCCGGAAAACACCCATTCTAGGGGCTGTTTTCGTATCAACGATTAGGGGTTGAGCTAGCACCTTGAGAAGGCTGTTTAACACTCATTTCTAAGCAAGGAATCAGTTCTCAAAATTCCTTGGCCGAGGCTTTGGTCATTGGATCGAGGAGGAAAGTTTTAAAGCTCATTTGAGGTGAGGATCGACATCTAGTTGCTTACAACTTGTAGGTTGAGCATGAGATTACCTAAATGCCTAAATCATAATTTTTAATGGATTATGATGATTAAATATTTATGAAATATTGATATAGTTTCCAAAGAATGAAATTGGAAATGAATTGAGGTTGTATGAATAATATGAGATTAAATGAGTTATAAATGAACTATTTAGTGAAATAGGCATTTTCCACATGTATCAATTATGTGGATACATAAATGAATATTTATGTATTGAGATTAAATACTTAAGTTTCTGCCACATATTATTAATATGTAGGGACTCCCATATGTGAATAAATGTTTTGTAAGAATAATCTTAATAGTAATGAGGTACTAGTTAATTAAGGATTGTTCGAATTGTTGATAGAATCAAACCTAGGGTTTGCATATTATTTTGATGAACTTGATGGACTTCAAGTGTCATTTGTGTCTTAATGTGAACTAAGGTTAAGTTGGGGACAGTCCATAGGATGTCCCAAGATAGCTTTATGTATGACAATTCTAGGCATAGTGAGTGCTTAGGAATTGGGGTCTATGCCAATGTAAGGGGATGCACTTGAGCCAAAGCTCTAGAATTGCATTGGGTAGACATAAGATTTAGGTTCAGCCCATGTAAGGAGATGCACTTAAACCCGAGCTCTACAATTGCATGGGTGAACATGATGTCGGAAATTGATGATGTGATATAAGGTTTGGAACCTAGGGTCAAATCTATGCCAATGTAAGGAGATGCACTTGAGCCCGAGCTCTAGAATTGCATTGGGTAGATATAACGTGGACGCATTAGGGTTGGACCCTATGTATTGTCGTGACTAGTGGTCACGGGGTTTGGGTTATGTTTTGTTATAAACATGGGCCTACGGGCCGACTACTTGACTTTTATATAAAGTTTGTATATTTTCAAACGGGGTAACTTAGGGTTACAATCATAATGTACTATCACCCTATTTGAGGGTCTTGTGTTTGAAATACTTGTATATCTATTAGATGCCATCCACACCAGTGCTTTATAGCCCTATAGAGTACTGACCCCTTCGGGGGCGTCCCACCACCATTTCAGGTTGAGGCTAGAGCTTGCATCCTGTGCTCGTTGATTGAGTGATTCCCTGGAGAGAAGACTTGGTTCGTGCTTCCTCCATTCTGTTTGAAACATTAATAAATTTGCTCATGGATATTTTAATTAGAGCTTGCGTGCTCATGTTTGCCCTATGTGACATTTGATTTCAAACTATGTTTCCGCTGCTTATTGAATTGTTTATTGTGTATGTTTATGGATGACTTACGTGTGAATGATATTCATGACGTCTTGTATAATATGGATGTGGTTGACTATGGTTGACTATTCGTGTTGTACGGCGGGTTGTTGACGTGTCCAGGTAGGTCCGGGGCGTGACAATTTAATTGGTATCAGAGCCTTAGTCCATAAACTTCATAATGAAGTCTCCAAATTCTCTTTTCGAAATGATTTTGAAAACCATGAGCATAAATGTTTTTTACTTGTAGAACTTTTGGTACTTGAGTTGCAAGGTCTCTAATTGTTAAGATGGTACCCTTAGCAATTGGTATGGCAGCAATTTGAGCCAAATAGTGTCTTAAGTACCGATCTGTCAATTGACATTTGATACGAGTCTAACGACTCTTTCCAAATTTCTCCCAGAAATGGACCGTGGTGGCAAGGTTACTAGGAGAAACCCGACGGGCCGTGCACCGGTGGAAACTGGGCAGGGCAGTCGTAGGACCTCTAGGGCATCTAGAGGAGCGGGCCGTGGGGGCCGATCGTAGACCGTGAGCGACGGTCATGTGAGCACTGAGAATGAGAGCTACTGGTCCTACGAGGACTCGACCTATCTACCGGAAACCGAGCCGGTTGAGACCCCTTGTGAAAAGGATGATGATGATGATGTAAGTGATGAAGAGGAGGAAAATGGCTCCTTAGCACGAATTGAAGCACTACTCCAACAGTACCACCGCGAACGGGAGGAGAGGAGGGAACGCCGAAGGCGCCGAGCTAGGCAACCTTCGGGCGAGGCCTCAAGAGGAAGAAGTCATGGCGACTCTAGGGCCCACATTGAACCACATGGGGCCGAGGTGATGGAGGTCCAATCATAAGGATCTCCAAATTCATCAAAGAAGCACGAGACTTGGGTGCAAACCGTTTGAAGGAATGGGGGACATCTCGGTTGCCTCACAATGGATCAAGAGGCTGAACGAGGCAGCCCTTGACATGCAACTCACACCCGATTTCAAACTAAGAATTGCAGTGAGACTACTTGAAGGGTTGGCATCCAAGTGGTGGGATGGGACCAAAGGCAAGTATGGTGAAGCCGTCGTTTGGGAAGACTTCTGACGGGAGTTCTTTGCCCAATACTATTCTGAATTCGAGGTAACGCGAAGGTGAGGGAATATACTCTCCTAACTCAAGGCGGTAACATGACGGTGAAACAGCTTGAACAAAAGTTTAGGGATCTTGCCGACCACATACCGAAGTATGCTTGTGATGCGAACCGAATGGTGAATCAATTCTGGGATGCCCTCAACTTGGAGATACGTGATAGGGCAACCCAATTGCCTAATATGACCTTCAGTCAAGTGGTTAATCAAGGCCTGAAAGGGGAGAAGCAATGGGAAGAGAGGAAGATGAGAGACGCCGAGGAGGCGAAAAAGAGAAAGTGGGAGAGTCATGACCCTCAAGGTTCCAAGAAATTAAAAAGAGGGCTTGTTTACTAACAGAGATATTTTCCAGTTTTCCAGAAAAGTGGAAAACTGGAAAATAGAAAACATGAAACATGTTTACCAAAGAAATTGCTGGAAAACTGGAGAAAGGAAAAAAGAAAAACGCGTTTACCAAATCATTTTCCAAAACGAAAAAAATGAGACATGTCTCTCTTTTCCTTAATGATTTGGAGAAGTGACTTTTACTAGTTTTCCAAATTTGGAAAACGCAGATGCTACAGTGTCGTTGCAATGAATTTGCATACTTACATATAGTGGTGGGTCCGGTCCCGCTCTGATGTCGATTCCATTCCGGTACCTCCATCCTCGTACCTTACTCCTTACCCCTACCCTACCCTACCCAGAAGTCACTTTTTAATAAGTAATCATTTAATAAAAATTAAAAAGATAATGAGAACGTGGTGAAGAAATTCAGAACGTGGTACCTTCTTCACCACGTTCTCATTATCCTTTTAATTTTTATTAAATGATTACTTATTAAAAAGTGACTTTTATCAATTCTGTTTTTAAACTTTATTTCCTTGATACTTTAAAAAAAAACTTTATTTCCCTGAAGAATTTAAAGAGTGTACTTGTACTTGTTCAACAGTTGAAGGCAAATATTTTTTAAACCTTTTCTGAATAGTAACCTTTAATGACATATGGAACTCATTTTCTGCACCAGCGAAATATTTGAACTTTGAAAACGGTAAAAATCCAAATTCTTAACCTAATACATCATGCTCTATATTTTCATATTTGCCCTTTTTCTTAGAAATAATGAATAATAAATTGAACTAAAATTTGTATTTTTATTTTATTAGCACTCAATGTGATCATCATTTTCATTTTCTAATTTTTTTAATTCTCGAGTGATATTATAATATGAAGGAATAAGGTTTGTCACACTTTAACGAAGGGAGTAGTAGTATGAAATTGGTTAAATCTATTGAAATGGATGAAATTCTGATAGAAGTGGTTGAATTAGTTGAATCTATTGATTTATGGATAAATTTATTTTAAAATAATTTTATTAATAAAATCAAGGAAAACATTATATGAAAAGTAGTTAAAATGATCAGATACAGTAACTTTCTTTATTCAGACAGCAAAATAGATCATAAATTGAATATAGATAATTTTAAGCATAGTTATAGAGATTATATTTTTTTTTTAATTTTTTTTTTTTAATTTTTTTTACTCCGGGGGGTCTAGGGGAGGAGGTCTGGGGGGAGTCTGGAGTAATCAGGGCTGAAACTCACTCTATTGAGTTTCAAACCCTTGTGTGCCTAGCGGGATTCGAACTCGAGACCTCTCATTAGGCACGGTAACCTCGCAACCAGCTAGGCTGAAGTGCTTGGTTGCAAAATTATAGAGATTATTAATAAATTATATTTGTATATATTCAATATTGATCTCAATTTAAAGATCACAAAAAATTATGAATTTTGATATATTTTTTTGTAAAAATTGTAACAAAATGAAAAAGTTATAATACTTTAAAAAAATTGGTTTTTTTTATAGGTTGGGCCCCACCAACTGCAAATTCTACAGCTGTTCCCCTTCCATTTCAATCGGAGGAGAGTTTGACACATAGGATTCATTAAGGGTAAAATTGTATTTTGAAGGAGATATTTCTTTTCTTAAATAGAAATAGATAGATGACGTGGCTGTAACTACCGTTGAAGCTAAAATGAATATACAATCATCATTTAGAAAAGAATATTGAAGGCTTAATAATAACAAATTTTACCGTGTTTGGTAACTGAGAGGCAATGTCTTCTTTTCCAGATTGATTTTTTCGCTTTCATGTAATATATCATTTATTCATTTACACAGTTTATCACTTTCATGAGAGCTTACGTAAAGAGAAAGACGTAACGCACAAAGAGAAAGCACGTAATGTGCAATGGCAAAGCAAAAAAAAGGTAATGGTCCCACCCAAAATAAAATCTCCTATTTTTTTAAAGTGGCACAACTTTTTTATTCGTCCTCCGATTGTTACAAAAAATATACCAAAATTCATAACTTTTTATTACCTTTCATTTGACATCAATAATGACTATATAAAAATAGAAAAATGATTTAACACTTGAAAAATTACCTGCTTTTTAAAAATATATATCTTTTTTATTTGTATTCCGATTATTACAAAAAATATATCAAAATTCTTAATTTTTTATTATCTCTCCTGTGAAAGCAATGTTTCATATATAAAAATAAAAAATTAATTTAACACTTCAAAAAGATACTATGTACGTAGTATGTTTCTTCAAAATACTACTCCCTCCGTCCGAAAATGATAATCCCGTATTTCCTTTTTGGGATGTCCCAAAATGATGGTCTTGTTTCCCTTTGTGGTAAAGAACAAAAGTGTATTACCATTTATACCCCTCCTTTTTAATGAACAGTAAAATAAAGTAAGGTTCTTTAGTCTTTCTTAATCTTTGTGCCCAAAAGAAACAAGACCATCAAATTGGGACAGAGGAAGTATAACATTTTTATTTGTATTTCAATTGGTACCTTTCATATGACACCAATGTTGCATATAAAAAATAAAAAAAATTATTAACTTGGACAGTTTATAATCATTTTTTATCTTGCACGCTATTAATATGGAGTGATGACTTAGAATGAAATAGCATAAACTCTCGCGCAAAGAATAAAATAAGTAAATACAAGTGATGGAGTTTTTATAATTTTATCTTAATCTACCAGTCCCGATTGATTGTGTGCACGATAAAAAATGATCCTAAACTGGACAAATTATTAGATTTTTGTTTATTTTGATATATGAAACATTGCTTTCACATGAGAGATAATAAAAAATTAAGAATTTTAATATTTTTTTTTGTAATAATCGGAATACAAATAAAAAAGATTTTTTTTTTTTAAAAACAGGTAATTTTTCACGTGTTAAATTATTTTTTTATTTTTATATAATCATTATTGATGTCATATGAAAGGTAATAAAAAGTTATGAATTTTGGTATATTTTTTGTAACCATCGAAATAAAAATAAAAAAGTTGTGGCACTTTAAAGAAAAAAGAGATTTTATTTTGGGTGGGACCATTACCTTATTTTTTTTTGCTTTGCCATTGCACATTACGTGCTTTCTGTTTGCGCGTTACCTATTTCTCTTCACCGCCACTTGAAGTGACGGTTCTCTAACTCAGGTTAGTTAGGCAGTATTTTGAGAAATACTTTTAACCCAACATTAATTTCAGAAATATTTTTTTGTTTGACATTATTTTAAGAAAAAACTCCCTTCATGAGGGAGTAGTGCTATAAATATACTTATTTTTATTAAAATCCTCTGAATTTTTTTGCTTTAGGTTCTATCAGGCTTTGGGTTTGTTAAGAAGTTGTTCTCTTCGTCTTAGGGTTCGTTTGCAAACACTAAAAAAAAGCGTTTTCGTCTTAGGGTCGTTTGCAAACACTAAAAAAAAGCGTTTTCCAGTTTTTGACTTAAAAAAAACTAAAAAAAGTGTTTTCAAGTAACAACTTCTATTTAATTTAACATTTAGAAGCTAAAAGCTAGAAGCTTTTTTTTACCTTTTCTATTACACAAAAAGCACTTATTTTACCAAACACTATCAACTTTTACTTTTCAAAATCACTTTTTTTTCTCAAACACTAAAGTGATTTTAACTTTTTAAACTGATTTGGAAAAAAATGATTAATAGTACAAGTTGGTAGTGTTTGAGAAAAAAGTGATTTTGAAAAGTAAAAGTTGGTAGTGTTTGGAAAAATAAGTGCTTTTTGTGTAATAGAAAAAATAAAAAGTAGATTTTAGCTTAGCTTTTAACTTTTAAATATTAATTTAAGTAGAAGTTACTTGAAAACACTCTTTTTAGCTTTTTAAGTCAAAAGCTGGGAATCACTTTTTTCAGAGTTTGCAAACAAAGCCTAACAACTTTTACTATCAATCACTTTTTCTCAAATCACTTAAAAAAGTTCAAAAGTGATTCTCATTATTGTTTGCAAACAAACTCTTATTCTTATTACTTATTCTTATTTAATTCATCAGATCAGAAAGATTCAAATTAGATCAGACCAGATCAGAATTATATTAAGTATATATTAAAGTATTAAATATAAGTGTACTACTACTCTTATGGTTGTATACTTATATATTATATACTATTAACATTATATTACATATTAGTTACTTAAAGTATAATTTATAGTTTATACATTTATTCTAGTAGTTACATTTTCATTAATTAATATACATTAATACATTTATCCTATTAGTCACATTTTCATTAATTTTAGTTAAATTTATCCTATTAGTTACCTTCCCATTAATTAATATACATTCATACATGTATCCTTTTAATTAGTTACATTTTCATTAATATTAGATATACATTTATCTTATTAATAGTAGTTACCTTCTTATTTTATATGATTTGTTACATTCTGAAATTATATTATTCTCATTATAGTTACATTTGAAATTGTTAATAGTAATTACATTTTAATTGCATTTACTATACTTGTTACACTATCATATTAATTAACCATATTTGTTAGATATTAACATTAACCATATTAAAGTTGTTAGATTAAAGTAGTTGCATTTTAATTGCATTTACTATAGTTGTCACATTTTAATAATAAAGTCACATTTTACTTACATTTAAATATTAGTTGCATTTTATTATTAAACTCCCAACTTAAATATAAAAGTCACATTTTAGTTACATTTAAATATAAGTTGCATTTTAATATTTAACTCACAATTTAATGCCAAACTCACATTTTAGTTACATATAAATATTAATTGCATTTTATTTGTAGTCACAATTCAATATTTGTTAGAGTTGTATACTTCTCACATTTGTAATATTAAAGTTACACTTTAGTTGCATTATCATATTAGTTACATTTTCATATTAAAGTCACATTTTAATTTTTAAAGTCACATTTTAGTTACAATTTTATAGTAGTTACATATAAAATTGAACTCAGAATTTAATATTCAACTCACAATTTAATACTAAACTCACATTTTAGTTACATATTGTTTGAGCGTCCCAGATCAACAGTCGATTAACAATAATATGAAGAAATTGAGTAGAAACAGAATACATCATCAACATTCAATATAGTATGTTCATAATGATGAACAATGATGAACAATACACGGATGAACTGATGTTCGAGAATATCTAAGTGCTCTACGTGAGAATAATAGGTGCGGACTAAATTGTCTTCTTCGACCTGTTCGAACCATCTCTTTATGTATTTATAAAGAGATAGTCAAGCATCCTATTACAATTAGGAAACAGAGTGCAGCCGTGCGTGCGGGCTTCTAATTAAGCAGATAAAAAGCCTAATTCTCTATTAACAAATAAAAGGCTGCCAATACTAAGACTAATTAATCAAAGATAATTACAATCAATTTGAACACAATAAATAATTTTCTAATACATATAAATATTAGTTGCATTTTATTTGTACTCACAATTCAATATTTGTTAAACTTGTATACTTGTCACATTTTTAATATTAAAGTCACATTTTAGTTACAATTTTATATTAGTTACATATAAAATTGAACTCACAATTTAATATTAAACTCACATTTTACATACATTTTTATATTAGTAGCATTGTAATTGTACTCACATTTAAATATTTGTTAGAATTTAATATTTGTTACATTTTAAGATGGAGCGAGGTAGACATTATGTAGATATGGGTAACTTCCAACGCAACAGAAGGAAGGAGATTGTGAAAGGACACCCTACTTCGCGAGACAAAGGTAAAGGACATGTTGGGTCTTCTTCTCAAAGCCGAGATGATTTTGAAATGGATTACCAACAGAGATATGCGATGTCCGACGAGCAACTGGCTCAATTGTTGGCATAAGGACATGAGCGGGTTTACCAACAAGAAGACATTCATTAGCTCGAGGATGATGACAAGGAGGAAAAGGCGACGAGAAAACCCAAGATGAGGAGGAGGAACAAGGCGCCAATTCATCCCAACCCGGTAAGATAGATAAATCTCTTGTTATGGAACTTGATTTTGATAAGTTTAAGGACCCGGAAGATGGAAAATGGTAAGCAACTTGCAAACATTGTAAGAAAAATATCAGCTTGGGGATTTCGCAAGGATGTGGTGGCGCTCATAGGCATTTGAAGAGCAAGCACCCCCACGGAGTGGGCGAAAGTGAAAGGCAAGGGGACACAAACACAAATATCGAGGTTTGCAAATAATCAACCATTTGATAATTTCGTTTATGATGATGCGAAACATTTAACTGCTATGTCTAAATTAATTTGTGAGGAAAATTTGCCTTATATTTTTTCTGAAAGTCTTGCTTTAAAAGATTATGCTCAAAATTCTTTAAATCCTCAATTTAGAAACTATAGTCATAAAACCATTAAAAAGAAGTTATAAGATAATATGTTTTGGAAAAGGATATATTAAAAAGGTTTTTCGCAAACTTTGATGGACGTGTTACTGTGTTAGTATTTGTAGTGATATATGAGCGGATACTTATTATCGTTTGTATTATTTGGGTGTGACTGCACATTATATTGATGATGATTGGGAAATGCATAAACGTGTTATCGCTTTTCAAAAATATAATGACCGACACACAGGTGATAATACTTACGTAGTATATTCTCATTGAGCGTATTTTAATTGAAATAATTTAATTGATAACGTGTTTGCTATTGATTTTTGATAATGTTAGTAATAGTACTGTTAATGTTCCTAGTTTGCGTGAATTGTGTGGTCTTTCTACTTTGATGGGTAGATTTTTTCATCGACGTTGTGCATGTCATGTTATGAATTTATGTCTAAAAGAAGGTTTAACAGTGTTAGCAAATGTAATTGAGAACGTGAAGGGGGTATTAAACTTATTTGAGGTCAAAATCAACTTAAAAAGCAATGACGTGAATTTCCGAGAGCTAGACGTGTAAAATATTGTGTTTTTCTTACAAATTTGACTATTCACTGGAATAGTATTATTACTTAATTGTTGGACTTATTGGATTTAAAGACCATTTTCCTGTTTTTTAAAAGCATATGCTAACTATATTATAGAACCAGTTCAGATCAACTCTATGGAAAAAATGTCAATTTTTTGGTTTTTTTAATAATGCAACTCAAACTTTAGTCATGTTTATAAACCTATATCAAACCCCTTATTTTTGTGATTTTATGAAAGAAAAGTTTTTAATATATTATACCTTAATTCGGCCTATATATGATATTGAATTTGTTCTTGATCCTCGTTTCAAACTTGCTGCTTATCAATCTTCTTTAGAGCATTATTATACTTGTTTTTTGGTCCATTACCTCTGTACGAAGACAAACCCATAGATCTTAAAGAGCAATACAACGAGATTCGTAACTTATTTCATCAGTTATTTAATGAGTTTCATGCACATTATGATAACGCACCCCCTCCCCCGAAATTAATTGCTTCTTCATCTAAAGGAAAATCATTTTCCAAATCTACATTTTGGTAATCTTATGGAAAAAATCAACTACCGTTGTTGCAAAAAGCTCGATTAACGAGTTTTTTTAATATATAACGTTTCCTTGTGATTATGAAGAATGAGATGACTTTGATGTTCTCAAATGGAGAAAGGACAAAGAAGGAATGTTCCCAATTTTATCGAAGACGGCGAAGCAAATGCTATCAATGTCGGTGTCAACTGTCAACAGTAGCTGTAGAACAAGAATTTAGTCAAGCTGGCAACGTCCTAACGGATTATAGAACGAGATTGAGGGTACAATCTCTTGACACGCTTCCACAATTGGTTAAAGGCCAGCGTAGAACTCAAGAAGTTTGCATCGCCCCCGACCGTCAGTTCATGGAGGAAACAACAACCGACGCTGGCGAAGATTCCGACAGATTTTTAGCAAATGCATTTGAAATAAATATACATTTAAGTTTTAAAAATTTTCTCAATTCTCAATTGTACTTCATATTTAAAATAAATGGGTTTAATGCACCAAACCCCCTCGTGAAATATAAAATCGACGCATTAGCCCTCTGTGATTTAAAAAATGCGTCAAACCCCCCTGTGTTATAATCAATCATGTGCAAAAACCCCTCTAAGAACAAATTTTACAATTTTGAAATCACTTTTTTTAATAGTATGGTTGAATATGCAAGTAACTTTGTCAAAATTTCTAAATTATACAAAAAAACTAATCATTTTTCTTTTTTTTGAGAAATTAAATTTGTTCTTGGAGGGGGTTTGGCGCATGATTAATTATAACACAAGGGGGTTTGACGCATTTTTTAAATCACATGGGGCTCATGCGCCGAATTTATATTTCACAAGGGGGTTTGGTACATTTAAGTTTTAAAATCTAGCACATGTTGAATACATTGAATTAATTTGAAAATAAAATTAACAAAAAAAACATGCCCGACCTGACCCGGGCCCGGACTTGTACAAACCAGGCCCCGGTACTAGGCCTTAATTTCATAAGCCCAGAGCTCGCTGGGCCCGAGCCGGGCCGAGTCCATGCCTACTTCATTCACACAGACTAGAGAGAAGCATGGCATTAGAGAAGAAAATGAGAGAGAAGGGGGCGTGAGTAGTCATGGACCCGGGCCGGGCCGGTTCCGGTTCCGGGCCGGGCCCGGCCGGGCTTTTTTTTTGGGAAGGAAGGCCCGGGACCGGCCCGGGTAGCCACCGGGTCCGGTCCGGGCCCGGGCCGGGCCGGGCCTCCGGTTCGGTTATTTTTTTTTTTTTTTTTTTTGCTTTCCTAACCCCCCCACTCACCCCCACACCCCCCCAAACCCCCAAACCCCTCCTAACCATCAAGCCCAACTTGGCTAACCCCAAAAAAAGAAAAAAAAATTAAAAAAAAATTACCCGGTTCGCCAAATTCAAGGCCCGAGCCCGGACCCGGACACCCCACCGGGCCTAGGCCCGACCCGGACCCGGACCCGGACCCGAGAACCGGGCCGGTTCCGGGCTCGCACAGTGGCGGGCCGGGCGGCCCGAACCGGGTCCATGCCTAGGCGTGAGTAGGCATGGACCCGGTCCGGGCCGGGCTCCGGGCCAATCCAAATCAGGACAAATTAGTTGGGGTAAGGCCCAGTACTGGCCCGGGATTCTACCGGGACCAGGCTGAGTCGAGACCGGTTCAGGCCGGTTCTTTTAATTTTTTTAACCTTTTCTTATTTATTCCAACTCCACCCCCCCAAACCCCGCCAAAACACCCAGCCCACCTGCCATAGGCCCAAACCCCCAAAAAACAAAATGCCCAGACTAGTCTTGGACCGGCCGGGCCGGACCCCATTTTTCTGCACCCGGAGCCCGCCCTGAAACCCCCCTCACCGGACCGGTCAACCCGGTTCCGGTTGGCGGGTCAAGCCGGTACTACACAGTACCAGGCCGGGCCAATCAACCTAGGCCCAGTCCATCCCTAGGCACATGAGAGAGAGAGATAGTGTGACCAATGGAGGAAAATATCTAAGGAAAGATTTGGAATTTTGAATGGCAAATAAGACATTTCACATTTTTATCATAAAGCAATGATGAAAAACTAGTCCTAATTTTAGAACCCCCTTGTGATAATTTGCCTTGATGAGCCTGAAAAACTTATGGTTACAACTACATTAAACTGTTTTCAACTAGAGTGATATTGCTCGTAGGAACTACATGTAAAATACATATTCCAATATACACATTTTGGCATTGTTTTACTATAATTTGGGTAATTAACTCTTCGAAGTTCGAATCAAATTAAAACGAGTTTTTTTAATCATCATTAAAACAAGTCTTATGACTAAAGTAATGACTGAATCATGATGCCACACATGACAAATACAAATACTTTGGCATTATAATTATATGCTGATGTATTTATATTGATGTTAACTTTGGAGAACTGACCTATAGATATATTTTGATTTGTAGAAAAAATGTGTTGTGAAAATGGAGCAAAAATAATAAACTACTGCGTATATATTAGGTAGTATAATTTTAATTACTTTGATAAATTTGACATTTACATAGTAATTCTTTTCCAATTTGAAAATTCAAATAAGATTCAAAAGCGAATACAAATATTCAGTAACTTATATGAATAATAATGGCAAACATTCGGTCAATTCGATTCATTTACGACCATTGTACCATTTCATTACAATGCCATATAAGTGATATTTTTGATTGAGCTGTTAATCATCCTTTTGCTTCCGCTGTAACAAAAATGGAAGAATAGCAGAAATACTTATTACGGGAATCTTCACATAACCAACTTCACTACTCTGAAAATCCCAAGGTAGAGAGGTAAGCTAATGCCTACATCTCACCCTCCCTAGACCAAACTGGGGTTTGGTTTGGTTTAGAGTAATTAGTAACACTTATCTTTAAATGATCATACTTGCTCCTTGACTATTCATCCATGCAAAACTGTATATCATCTAACTTATCTACCATTTGTACACTACAACTACCACCTGTCAGGAAAGGTTGTACTTCGACCGGTTCCTCGTGAACGGGAGCACTCACGGTACAAACCAGTGCAGGATCATTACGTTGGAATAATATCCGCTCCAAAGAAACTTTTTCCCGTTCCTTGACAGGAATTTCATTATTAGGGGTTACGTGGTCAATTTCATAGAAAGTTGGATCAACAGGTTTGGAAGGTGAGTCGTTTTCATACACAGACTTCTTCAACCAAATGGTTCCGGGAAATACCATAAGGTTGATGTTGCTCAAGCTTTGTTTCTCTTTATCTTCCAATGGTTTGAAACCGAAACCAAGCGTCCATGTCTCCACTAAACTGGGAATGGCAGATATTACAAGCTTTTCAACCTTGAAGGATTTCAACATCTGGATCCACCAATCAACACCCCCCAAGTCATTTTGAGATCAACAGAAGTTAATGGTTGCAGATTGAAAAATAGATGCCATTAGGGAGCAGATGGACAAGTCAAACAATAAAGTACGTTTACGATTTGAGTTTTAAATCTATGTTTAAGTTGATAATTCTTCAATATAATAAACTTCCATATAAAATTAGTACAAACTATATATACCATCAACTCAACATAATTTAAAAACAAAAGTAACACATCCCTCCTTTCATGTTAATAAGGGAGGAATTTTATAGGGTACATATCTTGATACATAATGTTGCTATAGATATAAATGATGGTTGAAGTGTAATATGATCACCAAGTTTGTTATTCCTTTAACTTTTATAGAATATCCATTATATATTAAGGGGGAAATTGAAGGTTGCACCTCAAATTATTCATCCAAATTTGAAATGGCACCCCATTTTAGTAATCAAGCTCTGCAACCCGCCATTAATTAATACGTAGTATGTAGAATTTAAAAGTGGATGCAAACTCCAAACCAAAGGACATAATGGGCGCAAGCTACAATTTACAAAAATAGGGTGCAAATTACAATCTTCAGGGGTCCAATTTCAAATGACCTTAAAAGCTATTAACAAATTTTTCTTAACAGTGAGGTGCAAATATTAATTAATAATAAATAAATAAAGGTGCAAACACCTATTTGGATGTAAACGTAAGATGAAACCCCAAATTCCCTTATTTTAAGATATAGACGTATCCCACCCAATCCCCTCTCCTCTGAAAACCAACACCCAAAAGACACCAAGGGTATGTTTGGGAGTTTGGGGGGAGGGGGGGGGGGGGGGAAGGGAAGGCTTTGAAGGTTAGTTGTAAGGAGATGAAGGGGAGGGGAGGGTGACGAAATCATTTTTCTTGCGGCTTGATAGTCACACATGATTTGAACTGGCTTTGTGTTTCCATATTTCAATTCTTGAAGGAGATGCTTAAACCATATGATTTCACATGTAGCCAGGGCCATTGCACGATATTCTGTTTTAGCACTAGATCTAGCAACCACATCCCGCTTCTTACTTTTCCATGAAATTAAGTTTCCACCGATCAAGATGCAATATCCTGAAGTGGAACGTCTATTCATCGGACATCCAACTCTTTCCGCATCACAATATCCCATAGTATCATGGTGACCTCGATCTTCGAACAACAATCCTTGCCCTCGTGTTTTCTTGATGTATCTCAAAACTCGGATAGCTGCATCCCAATGCCCATTACATAATTTATCAAGAAACTGACTGAGGACACTTACCGCAAATGAAATGTCTGGTCTCGTGATTGTAAGATAATTCAATTTGCCAATGAGTCTTCTATATTTTTCCTTGTTGGGAAAAAGATATCCTTCTTCTGACAGGAGTTTGACGTTCGGATCCATTGGTGTATCCACTGGCCTGCACTCTAGCATACATGTTTCCTCAAGAATGTCCAAAACAGACTTCCTTTGTGAGACTGTGCGACCTCAATGCCAAAGAAGTATCTCAATTTTCCCAAGTCTTTTGTTTGGAATTTGCTAAAGAGATATTGTTTGAGGAGCACAATTCCTTGTTCATCGCTACCTGTAATGACAATATCATCAACATACACAACAAGATAAATACATTTGTTGCCTACAGAGCGTCTTTAGAAAATAGAATGGTCAACATCACTGCGAATCACGCCAAAGCTGCGAACCATGTCACTAAACCTTCCAAACCATGCATGTGGAGATGCTTCAAACCATATAACGAATGACATAAATCGCACATCAAACCAGACTCTCCTTGAGCAACAAATCCAGGTGGTTACTCCATATAAGCCTCCTCGTGCAGATCCCCATGAAGAAATGTGTTTTTAATATCCAATTGGAACAATGGCCAATGGCTCATTGGTGCCATGGATAAAATCAAACGAATTGATGCGATCTTTGCTACAGGAGAAAAGGTGTCAGTGTAATCCAATCCATATATCTGAGTATACCCTTTCACCACAAGGCGTGCTTTAAAATGATCAATCTTCCCATCAGGCCCAACTTTAATCGTGTAAATCCACCGGCATCCAACTACTGATTTGCCAATGGGAAGGGAGGCTAAGTCCCATGTCCAACTAGAATGAAGAGCCTCCATCTCAGCTAACATGGCTTTACACCACTTTGGGTGTTCCAAGGCCTCATGTATTGTTTTAGGAATGCATATATGAGACAAGTATGAAATGAAAGCATAGTAAAGGGTAGAGGTGATAACTCAGAAAGTTATATATGGGATGTAGGTTCAAAGTAGAACGCGTACCTTTTCAGAGGGCAATGGGCAAATCATCACGAGTATTTTCGTGTGTCGCGGTAGCTAATGGTGATGATGCAGGATCTGTCGTAGGGGAATCAACTAGCATGGCCACAGTAGGCACAATGGGAGGAAGTCGAGGACGACCATGGTATACTTGTAATAGGCGGGCTGTCATAGGAGATCAAGTTGGGTGCTCATCAGATTGGGGGGGTGGGGGGGGGGGTTAATGGGAATCTCTAGATGGATGGGTCAGAGATATGAGATGAAGTCCAAACATGATGGGGTATCAAATGAAGATAATGGATAATAAAAGGATGACTCAATGAAAGTAACATCGGCCGAAATAAAATGTTTTTTAAGTAATGGAGAATAACGATGACCCTTTTGGAGTCGCGAGTATCCAAGAAAGATGCATTTTTTTACCTAGCCGACATTTTAGATAATCCATGTGTCGTGTCATGGACAAAACACACACACCCAAACACATGAGGTGGTAATGGAAATAAATCACGAGTAGGAAACCAAACAGAATAGGGAATATCATTATTAAGAACTGAGGAAGGCATTCTATTTATTAAATTACACGCAGCGAGTACATTTCACCAATACTGAGGTGGTGCATGTGAATGTAACAACACTGTACGAGCAGTATCAATTAAGTGTCGGTTCTTGTGTTCAGCAACCCCATTTTGTTGAGGTGTTTGAGAGACTAAGATGACCAGACAGCTATGTAAGGTACAACTATGTAAGGTAATAGCAGGTTCGACTGAAACACAAACTTTGAGATTCATGGCCGACGCCAATCGTCTTCCCCGTACAACGGTCCTGCACAGTCACAGAATCAGCAAAAAAGGTTACAGAACAATAAAGAGCACGTGTAATTTTGCTGACGGAGACAAGGTTAAAAGTGGAAGTGCTTGCCCAATACCCGAAGTCGAAGTTTGAAGGCCGTTAGCAAGAGTAATCAAAGGAAGATGTATGTGCTTGGTAATATGGGATAAAAGATGGGGATTACCAGAAATATGGTCTAAGGATCCTGAGTCAATGATCCACGAGCTCGTTGTGTTTGAAACACAAGCGGTAGGCATCCCGAGTATAGATAAAGGCATATTAGTCAACTGAAATTGTTGAAATGTTGCATATTCTTCTGGAGATAGAACAATGGGAGATGGTGGGATCTGAGCAACAGTGAGTGAGGTGGGAGGTCTCCCACGCAATTTCCAGCACCTGTCTTTAGTATGACCAATTTTTTTTTGATATACTGATTTCTTTTTTTGCTTTTGCCTTTTTTAGAAGAGTGAAAAATTAATATCAGCAAAGGAAATGAAAAATAAGAAAATTAAACCTGCTGAGGGGATCAACGCCTCAAGGGCAGCAGTTTGCAGATAATAGAAAGACAGCAGCAAAGCAGTCGCACAAGCAGTGGAAGAAAATGCCGGAGAGCAGTAGACACCTGTCTTTGATGTAATGGACTGAGCGACGGTGACTGAGCGCCCCAGCTGTGGCGGCACGTGGCTCGTCTGTTTGAGTGCTGTTTTACTTTGTTTTGGTCACCAGAAATCGTAGATCTTCAGAGCGTTGGCAGTGTAAGCTCCAGATGAGCAGATTGGAGTAGATCTGCAAAACAGGCCAGTGAGCCATGGGTAATGGTGCTGGCGTGTGGAGGCACGTGGGAGCTTCTGTGCCGGTACTGTTTCAGGCAGTTGGCCGTGAAGGTGTGCTGAGCAAGACGGTAGGTTTATATTTGATGTATCACTACCGGAAGTGCTTTAACTCCAATCGCGGCTACTGTTCGCTGGAAACCAGCATCCTAACTATGGTTTGCCATATATATGGCTCTGATACCATGTGAATAAGTATTGTTGTATTTCATATACTTGATCTTAAATGCTATACAAGAAGCTATATTTATAGCTATATTTAGAGCACTAGAGTTTCCTATACAAGATATACAAATGGGTTAAGCCCAATACTAGAGTTTCCACAACTCCCAAACAAGAAAAGGAGAGCCATAAATCCTCCTCATCCTTCCCATCATCTCCAAAACTTAACTCCCAAATATACCCGTACGGGTCAATTTTGATGGATGGTTATGGGGAATTACGTTCAACAAAACAACAACACCCAAGCCTGTCCCAAACAAGGTTATTAATATCGCGATCTAGATTGCTGACTCGTACGATTTTACGCGACAAGGTAGCAAGCACGAGCTGGATCATACATAAGATTGGAAAACGCAAGAAGATCGACGGATCGTCGAGTAAGATCGTAAGATCGTCGACTCAGTCGATCTTCGTCATCCATGCCTCAGGGAGAGAATCCGACTCACCTGTTCAGAGTCCGAAACGACTCTCAGAGTCAAGGTAGCTTACGCAGACCCAACTCCCCAAGCCACATACCTGAGCGACGACCAGAGCGACTGAGCGACTCACCTTCTTCAGTTCTTCTCTAAAATGGCAGGGGGAGTGTCGCACTGGCGCCTACTCATCTTTGTCCCATGTCGAGTTCAATTCTCCTCATAAAATTTTCTTCCCTCTCTGTTTATAGTCTTACACTCTTTTATCCTTTTATTAATTGTTTTTGTATTGTTCGTCAACAATTGGGAAATTGGGCAAGTGGTTCTGGAAGAGTACATTCTAGAACTTCTATCACATTTTGGTTGAAGATGACTTTTTTAATTTATCTTAAGTTTGTGATGCCAAGTGTTTTAATTCAAAAATTACATAAAGTTATTAATATCTTAAAAGTTTTAAGTTTAAATATCTATATATATATATATATAATATATCTATATATATGCATGGTATCTTTGCCACTAGGATCTTACGATCCGAGTTAGGATCCACGAGTTACGATCTCCTAGGCCCCTTCCGATCCGAGCTAGGATCTCGAGTTTAACAACCTTGGTCCCAAAAGATATTGGGGTCGGCTAACATAATCGATACATGATATCAACAAAAGGAAAAGAAAAAAAATAAATATAAAAAAGATAAGCTATTATATAAAAAGATAATATAAAAGAGATTAATATACATATAGAAGAAAAAATAGAAAGGATAAAAATAATATTTATATATAAGGATAAAAGGATAAAAAGTATGAAAAAAAGAGAGAAAAAGATGATACAAGATCACTCCTCCACACGAATACCCGTCTTCCACTTTGCTCTATCCAAAGTCATACCCTCCTCCAATCCAAGAAGAAGCATATCATTTCTGACTCCCCTAACCCACGTCTGTTTGGGTCTTCCTCTCCCTCTCTTCCCTGCCTCTTCTCCACACATCTCAACTCGTCTTACAGGTGCATCACTCGGTCTTCTATGCACATGACCAAACCACCGTAGGAGTGACTCCCGCATCTTATCTTCAATAGGTGCTACTCCCACCCTTTGTCTGATTGTCTCGTTCCTCACGCGGTCCTTTCTAGTATGCCCACACATCCAACGCAGCATACGTATCTCTGCCACACTCATCTTTTGAATGTGACATTGTTTCACCGTCCAACACTTTGTGTCATACAATAATGCAGGCCTAATTGATGTCCTATAAAATTTACCCTTCAGTCTAATCGGCATGCCTCGATCACATAGAAATCCTGACGCACTCTTCCACTTCATCCACCTTGTTCTGATTCTATGGGATACATCTCCATTTAACTCACCGTCCTTCTGAATTATGGAGCCCAAGTAACGGAACATATCGCTGACCGGTATCTCCTTACCACCTAGAGTAATTCCGCTATTACCACTGCTTCTACCTCCACCAAACTTGCACTCCATGTACTCTGTCTTGCTCCGACTTAGTCTGAAACCCTTGTTCTCTAATGTTTGTCGTCATACTTCCAACTTTGATTTAACCCCTGATTGCGTCTCATCAATCAATACAATATCGTACGCAAACATCATGCACCATGGTATATCGTCTTGAATTGACTTTGTAAGTTCATCCATGACTATGGTAAATAAGAAAGGGCTCAGAGCCGATCCTTGGTGCACTCCAATAGTAATAGGGAACTCCGCAGTCCTCACTACACTAGTACGAACACTTATAGTACAACCCTCTACATATCCATGATGATGTTGATATACTTGCGTGATATGCCTTTTTCTAGTTAAGGCCCACCAAAGAACTTCTCGAGGTACCCTATCATATGCCTTTTCTAGGTCAATGAACACCAAATGCAAATCCTTGTGAGTGTCTCTATACTTCTACATAAGTTGCCGAAGAAGGTGAATGGCCTCAGTTGTTGAGCGACCAGGCATAAAACCGAATTGATTCTCTGAAATCTTCACCATTCTTCGAAGTCTTTGCTCAATCATGGTAAAATGCATTTGAGATTTTTTATAAAAAGAAGAATTAATTTACGTTATACGCTCTTAGAAACATTTTACGTATTCATGAGATATACACTGAGCCCTCGCTTTCCTCCAAAACCTTCCATCCAAACTCACTCTAAAGAAACCAGGTAGTAACTAGTGACTGCATAAACAGCAAACCCGGATCGAGCTTAAAAAAGAATGACATTTTCCCCAAGAAAGGGAAAACAACAATACCTCCTCTAGAGAATTCATTAAGCGCCGGCACATCCCCTGGCGGCGATATTTGCTGCAAGTTGCAATTAGAGGCATCTCTGCAACTGTTGTTCCATGTATCCTACATCATAATCAGTGTTATCAGTATGAATAAGAGGTAACTGTTCACTCTCAGTAAATTTTAGCACGTAGAACTAAATAAAGTGTTGCCAGCCAATCCAATGAAGCTTACGACTTTTGCAACACATCTGACATCTTCTGCATTGCAAATACATAAATTCGGGGACATGAGTTGAAGAATTGCACGCCTAAAATTCTAGCATCCCCAAAATAGTATGATTATTTTCCCAGAGCACCAAGGTATTGAGCCTTGGTCTCAGAGCCTAGGCTGGTTAGATTAGCTTGTGGTGTCAGATTAAAAAAATAAAAAGAGGCAATCAATGGAGTTCTATTGTGTAGACAGAGTTGTGGAGTAAAAATCATTAACGTCTATGCAAAAGCTGAAATAGCGGGTTAAGAGTTAAGACTTAAGAGTGCCCACGAAGAATTTGGTGTCCACCGTACCCACTCTCTCCAACCTTCCACTATTTTTTACTACAATAAGACACCATTTTGAATCTCTGGTCCAATAGAAGGACTTCTTCATGAGGGGCCCAACATCAATTACCCCCCTCCGGTTCTCAAATAAGTTCCTAATTTGACTTTACGGTTTTTAAGAAAGGAAACTTTTTAGTCTTGAATTTTCTATTATACCCTTTAGAAAAAGTATAGGTACAGGTAGTTAGATATATGGGGTAAAAATGGGGTGTAAGGGGTGAATGAAGTAAGGTACACTTGTCATTTCATAATTAAAAGTTGCCAAAAAAAGAAATATGAGCTTTAATGTGGGACATCAAAAAAAGGAAAGTGGAAACTTAACCACAGCACCTCACATTTTATTTACTTGCCAGGATAAAACACATTTTTTAAAATTATTACATTTCAATTTGTGAATGACGACACACACATGTATGTGTATGTTCTCACTTCTCGATGTACATACACACACAAATATAACAAATATATAAAATAAAATGCATTCCAAACATATTTAATTTAAAAGAGAAGTGTGTAAAAACCCTGAACTGCACAAAGTAATTATATATTTCCAAATAAAATATTTTTTAATAGGTCATTGCATATCATCTGCAAAACTACAAAAGAAAGAATTGTGTATGACGGGTGGGCCTGTTGGTGGATCCCTCTTACATTTTAAAGAAGGGGTGTGTGTCAGACTTAGGGTGCTCTGCAAGCACAATACACCCTTGTTGGGCACCCTATGATACCACAAGTGCCCTCCATCATCACGGGTAGCCCTACAAGACGCATTGCGGTTCTCTAAAGACATGTCTCTACTACATGTGCTTTAAAAAAAGTTACGTGTTCCTTTTCTGAAAAGTGGAAATCGTAGAATAATGACGAAAACTTGACAAAAAACTCAAAGATATATCGGAAAAATCTACCATTGGTTACCTGATTGAAGCGACTGATATCAGCACATCATCTTTCTCTAAAACCATAGTGTAAAACCCATAGTAATTTAGACGAGCAAATTGCGAGCTGCAGAGAAATAAGCATGTTAAAATTAAAAATCAGAAATGCTTTCATAAACATAACCAATCCCCTATATTTTTTACGCGTACAAGATAAACAAATATATTGCCATGTTATATATGATGCACATGTGGATTTTACAATATCAAATTTGCAAAGAGAATGACTATATAATATTCTCAACCCATCATCATCTCATTATATTTTCAATGCAAGTAGAAAAATCTATGGTGTGACCATTTCTGATTTCATGTCATTACCCCTTCTTTAGAATTTTGCAATGGGAAGGACAATATACAATAAACATGTCAAATAAAATAGGGAAAATAACTTTAAATAATACAAACTATCTTTTATGAACCAAGAATAATATGTAAATTAGAAATAAGACCAACTATTTAAATATAGACCAAAAGTGATATAGATCAATTTTTACTAAAAATTCAGCTATTTAACTCATCAAAAACTTGTATTAAAATATCTAATAAGTGAATATATTTCCAAATATCATTTATTTGATGGGTTGCCATTAGTTTTTTTATGTCTTAAATGACCAGATTTCTTGTCAAAAAGTGGCTCCATATTATTTTTGTTTTCCATTCAAATAGTTGGTATTATTAAAAATCATTTTCAAAGTATGTATTATTATTGGTTTATAGATGATAGTTGGTATTACTTAAAGTAATTATTCCAAAAGCTTGACCAAATACTACAAGGTTGTCATAAACTCATGGCTACTAGGCAAGGTGCGGCTCCAGTGGACCACCTTATCACCTAGGCGCCTGCCTATGTGACAACCAAACAGCAAGGCAAACCATAGTTTGACTTCAAGGCTTTGGCAAAATAATTTTTTTGTTCTTTCCAAGTATGACCTTCCCAAAAAGCATGATAGAGAAAAGTAATATACTTTTCATAGGGGTACACAAGTACTTTACACTCAAATATTACCAAAAAAAGAAGAACTTGATTTTAGAACATCCCAAAAATGAAAGTGGAAACTTAATTGCGGAACAAAGGGTGTAATATTTACTTAATTAAATTGCATCAATTACTTATAATTCAATCCAATAATTTAATTTAATAATTAAAAAAAGAGTTCAATAACTCGAAACAAAGTTTGAAGAAGCTAAAATAAAAATAAAAAACTTTCCCTGTTTTTGATCTCTTTTCTGAAGGAGTCAAGCAGCTAAGCAAGTTTCAAGTTGAATGAGCAAGCACAAACTATAGTTGATATTCAATAAAATATCCTCACCCCCAGTTGTAGATTACTTGGGAAATCATGTCTATGCCTGTCCTAGGATCCACCATTGGAAGAAAGCATTCCTCCATGATTGTAAGAGCAACAGCTAACTTGGAGTTGCAATCTGCTCTGAAGGCAACAAATCTCTGTGCAGAACGAACTCTCTGATCACTGGGAATACACCTCAGAAGTGTACAATAGAGGCCATCACAGAGAAGATTTGCAACACCAATGCAAGACTGAAGACCCAAGTAAACCTGAACGACACCATAAGTTATTTCGAAAGACAGCATGATTGACCATCATCATGTTGATATAGTTCAATAATTCAGTGAAACATCACAAGACAGAACTGATCATAGCAAATGAAGTATATTCATCATCATTATCTACTTCTAGCTAGCTGGGGTCGGTGGCATGTAACACATTGCCCATCATTAACTCATAACAAGGAACTACATAGTATATTTTCTTAAAAATTGTAGGCAATAAAATCTTATTTGACCCTATCCAGTACATTACGCTCTCAAAATTCACTACCAATCCATACCTGTTTGAAACTATGGTTTTGGTTTGAACAAGAATTTGTGGAATCATTTAAAATCACTCTTTTCTCTTCGGTGCCATTTTGGATGGTTCAGAATACCATTATGAATCGGTATACTCAGTTTATTTTTGGTGAACTAGCTCACTAGTCTACTAAAGAGCTAGCTCACAAGCCCACAAAGAGAACACCATCAAGTTTTAGTTTAATTTGTTCATTTCAACAAGCTTTAAAAAATGAACTAATAGCTTTTATCGAACCACGGTTCATCTACTTCACGATTGGTTCGGATCATTAGTTAATTTAGTTGTGGTTCAATTCACCTTAACCCTATTGCTTATTGATTATTCTTATTTTAATCAGATCAAAAACATTCGATCATATCACCAAACATTCAGTCAGATAAGAAACATCCAAAGCATATTAAAAGAAATCACATCAGATCATAAACGTTTTGTTACAGATTCCTTTTGGGGCATAGGATATCAAAGGAAAGCAATCCGCAATTAATGGAGTAGTAGACTACAAGAATAAAAGGAATCATAGATTTTAAATAATTTACTGATTTGTTGCAATTGTTATTTTTTTATTTATTTTCTTTCCATTTAAGTTGGCATAGAATAAGGGAATTGATTGTAGAATCAACTCTATATATTGGCAGACTCCTGCAGGAATAAAGTATGCAATTTTCACCCTAAACTATTGAGCATCAAGGTTGTTAAACTCGAGATCCTAGATCGGATCGGGAGGGGAAGAGGAGATCGTAACTCGTGGATCGTAACTCGGATCGTAAGATCTTAAAAGCAAAGATACCATGCATATATATATGTGTGTGTATTTAAACTTATAACTTTTGAAATATGAATAACATAATGTCATTTTTGAATTAAAAGTTTAAAACACTTAGGATAACAAACTTACGATAAATTAAAAAAGACATTTTCAAAACTTTATTGTTCTGTTCTCCCAGGGTCCCAGCCAACTTCGGTGCTCTACCCTGCAGCTTTTTTGTTTGCTATTGACCCACTTGCCATACTTATGCTATGAGAACTTCAGAAGTCAGAGTCACTAATAACCCCCCCCCCCCCTTCTTCTCCTTTAGTAAAGTGGAGTATAAGCGAAATATTTTGGTAAAGCTAGCGACACAGAAAGATGAAGAATAAGCGGACGACATAGAGAGAACAGAGAACAGAGAAGAGATGAGGACTGAAGAAAAAGACGCTATATTTCATTTTTTTTCAAAGTCGTCGTTTCAGACTTCAACGGCGCCCTTCTTTTCCCGTTTTTTAACCGAGTGGTCGCAGCTCGTTTTAGATCGACGAGTCGTACGTTTTACAATCCTACTCGACGATCTGCCGATCCCAGTGCAATTTCCGATTTTTGGAGCGATCTGACTCGATTCCCCCTCTCCAAATCGCAAACTCGTACGATCTTACGAGTTACCTCGCGATCCTAACAACCTTGCTGAGCATTGCCAAGGGCAAGTCTCATCTCATTCTCTGGCACTCATCAAGGACGACCCCTGCTTTCTTTCAGTATTGCTCGTAAAAAGAACATCATTCCCTTCTCTGTCCTTTCCACGTCAAGCTACAGACCCTGGACGAGGGCCTGCACCAACACACTTAACAATTTGGTTAAGAGCTTAGGACGATGGGCGATCCATCTGAACTTGTCAGCACTCTCAAATCTGCTCTCGAAACTCAGAATGCTCGCACAGGACGGCTTGAAGACGGCTTGAAGAACAGATGGCTGAAATTGCAGATTCCTTGAGCCGTTTAGGACAAACTCATTTCGTGGTTTCACCGGGCATCCAAAATTCAGGGACACGGATTAAACGAAAACTTATGGACAAAAAAGGACCACATTTATAATTTTCAAAAAAAGTGACGAATAGGACACTTATGCCCTTTGCTAAATGAATACAACTCCAGTGACCCGCCGCCGCCGGTTACCCCACCGCCGACCCAAGTGACCACCCCCGGCAAGTGATCACTGCCAGCCCCGGTGACCACTGCCAGTCCAGTGAGAGTTACAGCCGCCACAGTCAGTTACCGTCGCCTAGTGACCTATTCACGGCCCAACCGCCACCACCGCCCTTGCCCCATCCACCCCGCTGATGGACACTTGACACCACCACCGCCCCTACCACCCCCACTACCTGCCCAAACCTTTTGTCCGACCCCTCCCCTGCAACTCTCCCACCCGCAGCCCTAAACTCCTCCCTCACGGCGGCGGCAGACTGCAATGCCGCTGCTCTAGCCATAAACAACCACTGCCATATGTTAGAGATATTGCAGCAGTATATACGGTCAATCAAAGAAGATTCTGTTAGAGATCTGTAGCAGCAGTTTATATGCATAACTAATGTAGATTCGAGTCATTAAGTGTAGAATATACACTTTCCTAGATTAGCCTATGATCAGGATGTTTCACTAATTTTATAGCCATCACCTGTCACCCGTGAAACCCTAGATCAGCTTTCACCCGTTAACAGTCCAGCTATGTCAAAATAGATCCCTAGCTTCCGTCTATCCAGAATCATCTCTTATTTTATAAAATGGGAGATGGTGCAAAACCAAATGATGCTATAGTCCCTGGAATTATTAATTATTCCGCTGCTCAGAAAATACCAATTAAGCTAAACTCAACTAATTGGGCACAATGGAGTCTGTTCGTTCAGACCGGCCTTGAAAGCTTGGATAAAGGTGCATATCTGAACCAAGATCCTCCTGATCCTAAAACCCGAGAATGGAAGCTTGATGATAGTGGAATCAGAATGGCTTTGTGGAACGCTATGGAACCTCAAGTTTTGAGTATTGCTCAAAATTATCCTACCACAAAGAAGATGTGGGAACATCTTCAATAAATGGTTTTAAATACTTTATTACGTTTGTTGACGATTATTCCCGTGCAACTTGGGTTTACTTGTTTAAATCAAGAAATGAAATATCTGTCATATTCCGTGAATTTTAAGAATATGTTAAAACCCAATTTGATCTTCTTCTTCTTCTTCTTCTTCATTACCCCAGTGCCGCAAAGGCTCCCACCTATGGTGGGGTAAGGGGGGTCGGATGTATACAGCCTTACCCCTGTACTAAAGTACAGAGAGACTGTTTCCGGATGACCCATGGTGAAAATCGCCTCGAAAATTGGATAGACTGACCGCTGCTTCATAACAAAGAAGCGCAGACAGTTTTGTGGGTGATTTTGCTTTATTCCATCATATTCCCAAGCCAAAAAAAATGGCGAGTCTTTGGCTCCATCGCAAATGATGGAAAGTAAAACCCCAATTTGATAGTTGTATAAAAACATTTCAATCTTGACAATGCAAAAGAGTATTTCTCTTCTGATTTCACACGTTTTTTATTCGAGCATGGCATTATACATGAATCATCATGTCCGTACACACCCTAACAGAATGGCATTGCTGAACGAAAAAACCGTCATATGTTGGATGTTGCTCGCACTATGATGATTCATTATAATGTGCCCCCAACGTTTCTGGGCTGACGCGGTCCTCACAACAAATTACCTAATCAACCGCATGCCATCCTCAATTCTTTCCAGAAAAATATTGTTTTCTCTTCTATTTCCCAAAGGCACTCCCTTTCCTCTGCCTCCTAAGATCTTTGGTTGTGTATGTTATGTTCATGATCACCGTCCAGGACATAACAAACTTGATCCACGTGCCATCAAGTGTGTCTTTCTAGGGTACTCACGAGTCCAAAAAGGTTATCGTTGTTATTGTCCAACCCTTCGTCGATATTTTACTATTGCTGATGTTACTTTCCATGAGTCACGTTCATTCTTTGATAGCACCACTAACTTTTCCGAGTCATCATATATATTCCCAGATCATTCTGAAATTGTAGATCCTCCGGTTTATATCACCCCTATACAAACATCACACAACTCCTCTCCCACTTTACCATTTCATTTCATTTTCATTTACCCCAGTGCCGCAAAGGCTCCCACCTACGGTGGGGTAAGGGGGGGGTCGGATGTACGCAGTCTTACCCCTGTACTAAAGCACAGAGAGACTGTTTCCGGATGACCCATAGTGAAAATCGCGTCCAAAAATGCGGACTGACTGCTGCTTTATAGTAAAGAAGCGCAGACAGTTTAGTGAGCCATTTTGCTTTATTCCATGATATTCTCAAGCCAAAAAAATAATAAATCTTTGGCTCCATTGCAAATGATGGAAATTGTCTCCCACTTTACCATTAGATACAAATACTCGATTCACAAAAGTGTACATTAGACACCGAAGAAAAGCAACACAGAACCAAGAGAACTCAACCTTGTGTCATGAAACCGGAAACTCTCCTGTTCCAGAACCACAATCTGTATTCGAACCTCTCCCTTCCGAACCTTGTGACCCACCTGGAGCACCTTTTCCTGAATCCTGACCTTCCAATTGCCTTACGAAAGGGTACCAGGAATTGTACCAGATATCCTATTCAAAATTACCTTGCCTACTCTCACCTTTCACCTGAAGCATATGCTGACCAAACAACCATCGATAATCACCTTGTTCCCCGGAATGTAACTGAGGCCTTGAATCATCCTGGATGGTTTCAAGCAATGAATAGAGAGATGGATGCCCTACAAGAAAACCGGACTTGGGATTTGGTCCAGCTTCCTCCCGGAAAGCGCACAGTTGGTTGTAAATGGGTTTATAAAGTTAAACTTCATCCCGACGGCTCACTGCAT